GTTGACTATAGACTTGGTAGATGGTTCAGGGTCTGTAGTCGGCACGATTTATCCTATAGTTAGTAGGTGTTTAAGGCGGGTCGTGTCAGTTTGGTATCAAAGCAAAAGAAAGATCTTGTATAACATGAATAGAAGATGCATTAATGGTTTATGTTATAATTGTGTGATATGCATGTCATTTTATTTTATTATGTGAGGGCAGAACATGTAGGTTTAAAGAATTTGAAACTCAACAGGTCCCTGGTAGGCAGAATACAATGGCAGAAGACGTAGTTTGTGAGTCTAGCCACCGTCCTGTAGATTCACAGGAGGATATAGTTGACCAGGATGAACGTGTAATGGCAAGAATTGCTGCGTTGGGAGTAAGAATGTTGAGAAGGGATGCCGAGAAAGACTTTAAGATCGAGCGACTTGGAGCTTTATGGGCTACTGATTTCTCTGGAACGGCAGATCCAGTTGACGCAGAATCGTGGATGAAAAAAATAGGAAAATGTTTTAATGTGATGGGTTGTCCAGAGGATAGGAAAGTCAGACTGGCTACATTTTGGTTAGAAGGAGGAGCTGGTGAATGGTGGGAGTCAGTTATAGCGAGACAACCAGAAGCTGAAAAATGAAGCTGGAAAGAATTCAAAAATTTGTTTGATGAAGCATACTACCCACGATCCTACAGGGATACAAAAAGAAGTGAGTTCTTGAAGCTAGTACAGGGGTCGATGACGGTAGCAGAATATCAGAAAAAATATGTAGAACTTTCAAAGTATGCCACCACTATCATTGAAGATGAAACTGATCGATGTAGACGGTTTGAGGATGGTTTGCGTGAGGATATTCGAAGCTGTACTACTGCATCTGGGTGGCAGGAATTTGGACCCTTGGTGGAAGCTGCAGCAAGGGTTGAGAAGAGTTTGTTAGACAAGAAAAATCAGAGGGAAGTGTCAAAGAATGTGCGTGGTACTTTTTCTAGCTCTACCAGTTCTTCGAGTGGTAGACATTTTCGAGATAGTAGCAGGAGATTTACGCCTGGAGTGTCGGGTCGAGGGAGTTTTAAACCTGGATATCGAGGATCACAAAACTTTAGGGCGGGTGTAAATTTTCCTCAACAGATTACGAGTGGCTCGAGTCAGTATAGAAGACCTTCAGGTAGTCAGCAATCCGGGCAACAAGCGGAGTCTGCTTCTAGTTATACTAGATATCCTACATGCAAGAATTGTGGTAAGTCGCACAGGGGTGAATGTGAAAAGAGAATGTCCTCAGTTGTGGCAGGAAGGTAGTGCGTCTCAAGGAGCTTCCTCAAGACCGACAGTACAGGGGTATTCAGATTCACAAGCAAAACCTGTGAGTGAGGGGCAACCAAATACAGGAAATTCGAGTGGCGGTAAGTCAAAGGGTCAGGTAGGCAGACCACGTGGTCAGGGAAAGATATTTGCAATGACGCAGCATGAGGCTGAAGAATTGCCAGATGTAGTTACGGTACGTTGAATATCTTCGATAAAAATGCTCATGTTTTATTCGATCCGGGTGCTACACATTCATTTGTTTCTGTTATGTTCTCTGTTGGGTTAGATAGAAAGTTAGAACCCTTACCTAGTGAATTGGTAGTAGCTACACCGGGTGGTATCTCTTTGATAGCAGACAGTGTGTATCGTGATTGCATGATTATTTTGGGTGGTAGGCAGTTTAATGTGGATTTGGTCCCATTGAATATTCATGAGTTTGATGTTATTTTGGGAATGGATTTCATGTTCACACATCATGCATCGATTGACTGTTATCTGAAGGAAGTTATATTTAAACGGCTAGAGGAGGCTGAGATTATTTATAGAGGTGAAAGAAAAATTCGTCCAGCATGTGTAATATCTGCAATGAAGGCTAATAAATTGTTGAATAAGGGGTGTACAACATACTTAGCGTATGTTGTTGATCAGCGGATTGAAAAAGGAAAGCTTGAAGATATACCAGTTGTGCGAGAATTTCCAGACGTATTTTCAGATGATTTATCTGGCTTGCCACCTGATCGGGAGGTTGAGTTTGTGATTGATTTAATACCAGGCACCGCTCCGATATCTCAAGCACCATACAGAATGGCTCCTACAGAATTAAAAGAATTGAAGACACTGTTGCAGGAATTAGTTGACAAATGTTACATTAGACCTAGTGTGTCACCGTGGGGTGCGCCCGTGTTATTTGTGAAAAAGAAAGACGGTACTCTGAGGTTGTGTATTAATTATAGACAACTGAATAAGGTAACGATACGAAACAGATATCCATTGCCTCGAATAGATGATTTGTTTGATCAGCTTAAAGGTGCTGCAGTGTTCTCAAAAATTGATTTGCGATCCGGATATCATTAGTTAAAGGTAAGAGAAGCAGATGTGCCAAAAACTGCATTTAGAACACGATATGGGCATTATGAGTTCCTAGTTATGCCTTTCGGGTTGACAAACGCACCAGCAGCATTTATGGATCTTATGAATAGAGTATTTCATCCGTATGTAATTGTGTTCATTGATGATATACTAGTGTTTTCCGGCAGCCAGAGTGAGCATGTAGAGCATCTTAGAACTGTGTTACAGACGTTACGTGATAGGAAGTTGTATGCCAAATTTAGCAAATGTGAATTTTGGCTTGATCATGTGATGTTTTTGGGCCATGTTGTCTCTGCAGAAGGTATTTATGTTGATCCACAGAAAATTGAAGCGGTTGTGAAATGGGAACAGCCTACTACTGTTACGGAGGTTCGTAGTTTCCTCGGTTTGGCAGGATACTATCGCTGATTTGTTGAGGGATTTTCGAAGATAGCACTTTCTTTAACTAATTTGACTAGGAATAATTCAAAATTTGTGTGGACAGAAAAGTGTGAGCAGAGCTTCCAAGAGTTGAAGAAGAGATTAGTTCCTGCACCTATATTAGCACTTCCGACACCTGGAACAGAATTTCATGTTTATAGTGATGCTTCTCATCAGGGTCTAGGGTGTGTTTTGATGCAGAATGGGAAAGTAATAGCTTATGCGTCGAGACAATTGAGAAAGCATGAATGTAATTACCCGACCCACAATCTAGAATTGGCTGCTGTAGTTTTGGCATTGAAAGTTTGGCGACATTACCTGTTTGGTGAAAAATGTCATATTTATACAGATCACAAAAGTCTTAAATATATTTTTGATCAGAAAGAGTTGAATTTACGACAGAGAAAGTGGCTTGAGTTGATAAAAGATTACGATTGTACTATTGAGTATCGTCCAGGGAATGCTAATGTTGTAGCTGATGCTTTAAGCAAAAAACCTCGTGGTTCAGAAGATTCACCAAATGCAATTAGTTTCTCTTTATTGGGTGAGTTGAGGTGTTTGAATGCAAAAGTAGAAATAAATGACAATGGTGCCTTATTGGCTCATTTCCAGGTAAGACCTACTTTGATTGATAGAATCGTAACTACTCAGCTTGATGATCCAGTACTGAGTAAGATAAAAGAAGAAGTAAAAAGCAGTCAGCGAGAAGATTATACAGTGAGAGATGATGGAGCTCTAGTTAGCTATGATCGATTGTGTGTTCCTAATAATTTGAACTTGAAAAATGAAATGTTGGAAGAAGCTCATAGTTCGATTTATGCTATGCATCCAGGAAGTACAAAAATGTATCGAGCATTGAAAGAACACTACTGGTGGCCAGGTATGAAGAGAGAAATAGCAGAATATGTATCTAAGTGTTTGATTTGCCAGCAAGTGAAACCGATACGTCAGAAAGTCGCAGGACCCTTGATTTCACTTCCTATTCCGGAATGGAAATTGGAGCATGTTACGATGGATTTTCTGTTTGGACTTCCTCGTACCTTGAGTGGTTATATGGTATCTGGGTGATAGTAGACAGGTTGACTAATAATGCTCGATTTTTACCAATTAAAATCAAATATACGCTTGATAAGCTAGCTAAGTTATATGTTGATGAGATAGTTAGCTCGTATGGGACTCCTGTATCTATTGTTTCAGATAGAGATACCAGATTTACTTCTAAGTTCTGGCCTAGTTTACGGCAAGCTTTAGGTACTAAACTATATTTTAGTACGGCTTTTCATCCTCAGACAGATGGGCAGTCAGAGAGAACGATCCAAACTCTGGAGGATATGTTACGAGCTTGTGTTTTACAGTTCAAGGGTAGTTGGGATACTCACTTGCCTCTCTTGGAATTTGCTTATAATAATAGTTATCATTCTAGTATAGAGATGGCTCCGTTTGAAGCATTGTATGGCAGAAAATGTCGAACACCAGTCTGTTGAGATGAAGTTGGAGAGAGAAAGTTATTGGGGCCTGAGCTTGTTTAGATTACTACTGACAAGGTAAAGATAATTAGAGAGAATCTGAAAGTAGCACAAGACAGACAGAAGAGTTATGCTGATAAACGTCGAAAAGATCTTGAATTTTCAGTAGGTGATAAAGTTTTTCTTCGCTTGTCACCGTGGAAGGGTGTTTTGAGATTTGGCCGGAAAGGAAAGTTGAGTCCTAGATATATTGGTCCATATGAGATTCTTGAGCGTGTTGGGCCAGTAGCGTATCGTTTAGCACTGCCTATGGAGCTTTCTAGGATTCATGATGTGTTTCATGTTTCTATGTTGCGTAAGTATGTACCCGACCCATCGCATATTCTTGAATCGCAGTCAGTGCAGTTAAGTGAGAATTTGTCTTATGAAGAGAAGCCAGTGCAAATTTGGATAGAAAAGAAAAAGCGTTGCGAAACAAGACTATTCAGTTAGTTAAAGTTTTGTGGAGGAATCACGCAGTAGAAGAGGCAACATGGGAAAGTGAGGATCAGATGCGTACTCAATACCCTGGTCTATTTCCTTGATTGTTTTGATTGAATTTCGAGGACGAAATTCTTAAAAGGAGGTAATATTTTGTAAGGGTATTTTCGTAAGTTTAAAAAAATATAAAAATAAAAAAGTTGGGAAATTGTTGAAAAAAAAGTGGGTTTGTGTGTGAGTTGTGGAAGGGAACACGTGGAAAGGAGGAAAAAAAACAGAACAGAAAAGAAAGAAATTCGAAATGGAAGGGGTTTTGGAGAAGAAAACAGAGAGGGGGGGAGCGAGGACTGAAAAAGGTGGATAACTCAAGGTTGCTGAAAGGRAAGAAGAAGAAGCGTTGTGATTTTAGAGCCAAAAGTTGAAATTTGGTAAGTTTTCTAGAGATTTAATAGGGAAACCCATGGAAGTATGRAACTCTTTAAGATTAGTATTTGTGGGTTTTCTTCTTAAGGAAATTCCTGGTTTTTGTGGGTATTATGCTCTGTTCATACATCTCCCCGACTTCCTATGGGCATGGCTGAGAACAAAGTGTGATTTTGTGGTATTTGATTATTAAAAGAAAATAAGATTTTTTCTTTGTGGTTTACTCAAAATATGAAAGTTGTTTGAAAAACTGGTGATGTTATGTTGATTCGAGAATTGAGAATTTATGGTTTCAGTGAGCTATGAGGATGACTTTGCTGGCAAGGAGAAACGTAAGTTCAGAAACATAATTTTAGAGACTTGGGAAGAAGAAGTTGCAAAAAGAAAAAGAGAGGAAAAAAAAAACAGAACTTGGGATGAAGAAGAAGATGAATAGTGTAGAGGAGAGAGAAAGGCTATGGGTTGAGAATTAAAATTAAAAGTAGAAGGAAATGAAAGGAAAAAAATGGTTGGGAATTGAGGCTTTTCAGGTATAATAAATTGGAATGGGTTAAAAGGATATGATTGTGGGAAGTGGGTCCCACTTATAAGGAAGATGAGAGATGAAGAAGTGTAATTGGATGGTAGAGAGAGAATGGGCTTGTTGATTAAATTTATGGTTTAATTTGAAGAATTGTAGAGTTTAAATTGGTAATTGAGGGTGAATTGAAATTTCATTGGTTATTATTTCAGGACGATCGGAAATTGGAGCAACGTACCAACCAAATTCACCTCGTTCATAGGATCTGTGAGTGGTTATTTTACTAAATATTTTAAGATATTTATTATAGAACTTCAAGAAAAAAAAATATTACGTATGTTTGATTATTTCTGCTGAGAAATTGAGTTTGCTGAGAATTTCTGAGAAACTGTTGTGTTTACTGAATATGATTAGAAAGAAATATATTTAGAAGTGATTTGTGAAAGAAATGTTC